CCCGCGACTGCATCCGTTCTGCGGTGGTATGACTCACGGCAAATTGCAGCCGCAGCGCGCACTTGATTGTACGCACTGTATAATTAGAATGATCAAGTCAAGGAGGATGAGGTTGGCAGGGTATGTAGTATGAATGGGGGAGACGAGCAATGCGAATAGGATATTGGTGGGAAAGCTTAAGGAAAGAGACCACTGGGAAAACCAAGGCATAGGTGGATGGACAATATTAAAATGGATCTTAGAGAGATAGGATGGGATGGTATCGATTGGACTGATCTGGCACAGGATAGGTACCAGTGGAGGGCTCTCGTAAACATGGTAATGAACCTTCAGATTCCATAAAATGCTGGGAAATTCTTGAGTAGCTGCAGAATTGGTGGCTCCTCCAGAAGGGCTCAGCTCCATGAGTAAGTAAGTGTCACATCACATATGGCTATACTTTAAATGGTACTCATCTCTTGTCTTACATGCTGACACAGCCAGTATCTTTATGTTATTGATGGCACAGAATTAAGGTGAAGAGGAATGAGATTACCTCCAAAGGCATTATGTTCATGTTGAATTTCATGCAGTTCAGCTGTTTCAGTTCATATGGGGCAAGCACACACACAGATACCATGAACCTGGCATTTGATGACATAAAGTAGGCAAAAGTTGGCAGTCTTAGCTTTGTTCAATATTCTGATATGCATTTTCTTATAGTTTCTGCTTAAGATGTGGGGTAACCAACTCAACAGTCGGTCCCCTGCAGAAAAAATGGGTGTAAGAGGCAAGTTGGCTTGTGCGACTTACACGCAGACGCAAGTGTACTTGAAGCCCCTACTGAGGAAACTGAAAACAAAAACTCTGCCAGAAGACATTTCAGATAGTCTCACAGAAATCACAAGATACATGCTGGACAGAGATTATATTCAGGTTTGTAAAATTTTTGTTTCTTTTTATATCTATAAAGGTGGGACTGGGTCACAATTTTTTGCTGTAGTTCCACTCCTTTTTCTTAAAACTATTTGATTTGTAAGGTTCCTTTCTATCTGCCTAGCCTTCTGGAATGAGTAATACACTCAACTCTTGATTATCTGGGATAATGGTGGGGATGGAAATCACGATTAATCGAAAACCCGATTAAGACAGATTTTATTAAAAGTGGTACTATGATACTGTACCTTCATAATACTATAGGCCTACCTGTATTTAAATTTATTCAACCTCATTTTTATGTCATCTCATGGCCTATTTAATACTTTTTTTACATTACACTGAAGTATGAATTAGTTATTTCAATCACAGTGTTCAACAACATCCAACACTTTTTACGAATATTCACACTTACCACTTAAAAAATGTAATACTGTCGTTTGCTTTTTCGCAACATTTTTCTTTTTATGGATATCTGTACGAAGCCTATGTAATATTAGCATGTCACTTAATAAACTGTTCCCTTCACTCTCAAGAGAGTCTAATAAGGATTCCAAATGATTAAGAGCAGCACCTGGTGATATTTTCTTACTAGCAGCACTGTCCACCTTTTCCTCATTCTCACTTTCTTCCCATTCTTCTGGCTGCACCCCCACTGAACTTAGGATTTTGTCACAGCTTAACATTTCGAAGCCCGGCTCACACGAGTTTCTGCTGATTACTTAACACAACACGCTTCCTTTTACACCATGACATTTTGCTAACGCACTTGAAGATCGATACAAAGAGACTAACTGGGGCAGTGTATCTGTCCTTGAAACTTTCCACAAATCCTTGTATTCTTTCACCCCTACCGTAGAACATTGTGTTAGCATAACGGCAGCTCGGTTCACACTAGTGTGAAAATAGTGTTACAACTCACCATGTGAAACAAAAGTGAATGAATATTAAACAACATATAAGCCTTAAAAAAGCCCCGGTTAAGCCGCAGACCGGTTAATCCGCCCCCAGATAATCGAGAGTTGAGTGTAATTCAGTCACCATATCTCTAATATGTTATGGTTTTATCTGTATACCAGTTTCTTTACTCTGTCTAAAATTTCTGAATTATTCTCACTGTAGTCAAGGTAACCTGTAGGAAAAACAGACTGTTATTGAAATCTTATTGATTATATTTGGATGCTGGGAGGAAGCCAAATAGAATGTTTTGGCAAACACTGCAGTTGTCATCTTCAGGGTTAATGTCTTTGAGGGATGTTCAAAGCCCTTATATAATACCACAGTCAATAAGTTCGTGGAATGGCTGCAAAGCATCTTATGGGAATTTACTACCAATATGTTTCAGCAATGTTTTTGACAGCTATATCAACGTTGGCAGACTTGCATAGTGGCCAATGGCAACTATTTTGAGGGCCAATGTGGATCTGCGTAAGATCTGCCAGTTTACAATGAGTATGATGTGAAGGTATGACTGGACAAACCAGAGGGCTTTCCCTCCAGGCCTGTCACTCAACCACCTTAACTGGTAAATTTCATTGCTGCAGAACATTACAGTGGGTACTAAAACGTTTCATCATCTCATTTCATAACCTCTTGGTTGCCAACATACATCTCAGAACCCCCTTTCCTAATCACATGGTCACTAAATCTTCCTTTCCTATCCTTGTGTTCACTTACTTATGGAGCTGAGCCCTTCTTGAGGAGAAGCCAAATCTTACCTCCTGTACTCCTGCTAAATCTAAAGTTTTCTTCTGCCATTGCCCTATACATACTTCTAACATTCCATGTACTGGATCTCATGTCCATTCCTTGAATTCACTAAACATCTTTTTTCATTACCTGTTTCCCTATATGTGAATGCTAAAACTTCTGGCATCACGTTATTTCCTAATCACACATTCACCAAAATCTGTTTCAGCACCTCTGTGTGATCATGTGGTGGCTAAAATATTTTTTCCTCACCTCTCTTCTAACCATGTGGTTGCTAAAAATTTTTCAATCATCTCTTGACTTACACACAGTATTGCTAAAATATTTTTATCACCCTCTTCATGACCATTTAGTTTCCAAATACTTCCATCACCTCTTATCTTCAGCCACATGATCATCACAAGACAGCATTGTGCTCCTCTGTTTCATTTAATCATGCCTTTACCTCCCACTGCCAGATCTATATAAGGGCCTTCAAAAACCCCAAAAGAAATTAACCTCAAAGATGGCAACAGCAGTGTTTGATGAAACTTTGGAAAACCTTAGATATTCTACACAGCTTATGCCTGAAAGCCAAAATTATTCATTATACTCCTGTGAAAACCTAAGGACAAGAGTTACTGAAAAACTCTTACAAATTGGCCCAGGTCATACTTTGTTAAAATAGTTTTGTTCATTCAAGTAAACTAAATACAGTGAAACCCTATATTTTTTTTTTGGGGGGGGGAATTTGAACACTAAACTGAGACAAATCATTAAATAGACGAAAATTAACTGCTGATATTATTGACTTGGGATAATTCAAACTGGACGTTAAATATGGGTTCTACTACTGTTATACGTAGTTTTACACCGTTCAGTTGGATATTTTTTATGAGAGAATGTGTCTAATTTCATGAATATCCTAGCAAACTTTTGTTTTGCTGAACAAATGGTAATCGTGAATAGCATGGGGATAACCAGAAGCATCTAGAAATTGGTAACTCTATAGAGATTATCACAAAACTTGTATGTGCTGTGATGCAAACTTGAAGGGAAAAGGGTGTAACTTCTAGGCCTATCAAATATTGTTAATAAATCAGTAATGAAGTCCTGTTTAAGTAGAGATGAATGTGAGAGTTAGTGCTGCATGTGAGGTGGAAAATCCTGCACTATTGCCTCTTCAGTTATGCTATCACAGGTAGTATGTTGCTGTCTCAGTTGCACGTGCAATATTATACACTTATATGTGCAGGGTGGAATACTGATGTCTAAATGCTGGATGAAAACAAAGCTGATCAATATATTTTTCTCCACAACAGTTTTTATTTTCTACTTCCAGGCCAGTGACTCATACCTACAAATGGCTATAGGTAATGCACCATGGCCAATTGGTGTCACAATGGTGGGTATTCATGCCCGAACAGGACGTGAGAAAATTTTCTCAAAAAATGTAGCTCATGTAATGAATGACGAGACTCAGAGGAAATACTTGCAAGGTCTCAAACGACTAATGACAAAATGCCAGCAGTATTTTCCAACAGATCCTTCCAGATGTGTTGAATATACAAGAACAGAACTGTCATCTTGAATGTTGCATTCCTACTTCTTTGGACATAATTCTTCAGACCTTTTGGCAGCAGCTTCAACAGCATTCATTAAAGCATTTCTGTAAGCAAAATGTTTGTTTTTTAGTCATCTTATATGCTGTGTTCAACTGCTGAAGTCGTGTACCATTGATCTATATTGGGAGGTCATGTGTTGCATTATTGTGATGATGCATGTTTGGGGTTCAGCAACCAAGGTTTTTATTTTTCCAATATTAACACCTTTACCCAGAGAAAATATGGCTCCCAACTTTGTAGTAGTAGGTTATATAAACCCCCAATTCAAGGAGCATACAATAAATACCAGAATGCATGACAACTCATGATCTTTTGTAAATAATGACGATATATTTCATGGTGCATTCATCTGATATTTAATGTGCTTACTGTCTCAGATGACACCAGTGTTGGTAATGTCTGAATATGTTTTCATGTCATCACCATGTGTCCACTATGGCTTGGGGGCACTGTTAATGCTTGTTAGTGTCTGGCAGTTCACTGTAAGGTGAAAGTGAAATGCCAGCATGATGTTCTAAGATAAAAAGTGTACATCATGAAGACAGTTAATATGTTAATTTACATAAACCATGCTGTGGAAAAGGAACTGTTTAATTTTCCTTTAAGGATCATAGTTCTTACTTTAATCGAATGTTATATACACTGCAAAATAAAGTTTGTTCTCTGTTGATGTGTTTGAATGCTACAGCTATAGTTAAATCGTGGCCACTTAATTATATAACACAGAAAGCACTGTACAAGGCTTCTGTAGCATCTTGTGTTATTTAAAATGGGGTGGGGAAAACAACTGATTCAAATAAATTGGAAGACCATCTACTTTTTATACTTGTTACAGATGTCTCCCCCTCCACTTTTAGAGGTAGGTATTTGAGCATGTCAGTCCATTTAATTGGAACAGCAGGTCTCTCTGAAAAATGACAGAATAAATGGGACTTGCATTTTCTGAGATTGGCATGGGAATTACATTGAGATCAAAAGAGAAGTCATCAGAAAGCAATTACACACAGACATTCAAATTACTGAATATGTAGTGTGAACATGTTAAGGGAGCAAGTGTTCTGAATTATGGTCTATGAGAAAAAAGGATGTTGGAAGACAATGCTTTCTTCCTCATGTGAAGCTTATGTAACTCACCTGACTCCTCCACTTTCCATAGCATGGACACCAGTGATGGTGGAGCCACCTGCTGAACACACCTCATCCTTGAGTCGTGCTGGGTGTTTTCCAGTCTGCAGCACCATCTTTGCTGCACCAAACACAGTCTGAGCTGCAAGCTGTGTTGCCATATTTCGTGGTATTCCCATTTTGACTGCACCATCTGACAGAGCTTCTATTATAATGTATACCTGTTTGTAATAATAATGAGTGAAAAGAACATGCTGTTGTTTTGTATGGGTGTGAAACTTGGTCTTTCATATTAAGATAAGGACATGGACTGAAAATGAGTGTGTTTGAGCATGTCTGAAACCAAGACAGAGGATGTAACAGGAGGCTGGGGAAACTACATAATGATAAAGCTTAATAATGTATACTCAAGAGCTATTACAGCAATTAAATCAAGGAGGTTTCAATGGGTGGGGCATGTAGCACACACAGGAGGGATAAGAAATGTATTGGTCAGAGAACTTAAAATGGAAGAGACCTGTGAGTAGGTGATAGAATTTTGTGATGATTCTGTATGTAGCAGGGGTGAGTATGAAATGGATTCATCTGGCTGAGGACAAGGTCCAGTGGCAGGATGGTATAAAAGGGGAAATTTCATGACTAGCTAACAAGTGTAAGCTTCTCAAAGACTCCATGGAATTAGTATGATGTCTGTAGCAGAATACAACACTGTCCAAAAAGTATCTGACTTTATTTTTTGCCACTGTAAGTAATTTCCAAAGAGGTGGGGAAACTGAGCATAGTGGTAGAAGGGACTTTCATGCGCATGCGTGATATTTTGCTGACTCGCAACACCACCGGATGCGTCTGTGGCTGCCAGATAGTGAAGGGGTGTAACACGTGTTTGTCACGTTCTCGTTTTGTTCAAGATGACAGAATGCTTGGAGCAGCGATACTGCATCAAGTTTAGTCAGAAACATGGGGATACCCAAGCTGAAACAATCCATAAAACTCAGTAGGCTTTCGGCGATGATGCAATGGGGGTCACTCAAATTAAAAGAGTGGTTCAACCGCTTTAAAGTAGGCCGTATGTCGGCATGTAATATACCTGCACTAAGAGAACTATGACAATTTTCGATAGGTATTTTGAATAAATACAATTGTATGCCAGTGAATGAATGAAACATGATGGATTTAATGAAGAAATGTTCTGTTTAAGGAACTAGACGTCAGTATGTGAATGTTAATGAACTTTTGTTAATTTTTACTTTGAAAAATGGGGCATGTTTATTCACAGTGTGAGACACAGGAAGCAGACAGCAGTGGACCAGTACAGCAAATTGTTAGCAGGGAGAGATCTAGTTGTCTCCTGGGTTGTAACTGGATAGTCTTGTAGATGTCACAACCCAGGAAACCACAATCGGAAAAATCACCAGTGTGAAAACCTCAAAAGTTATATAAGGGGGGAATCTAAGTAGCACTAAACATAAATACCACAGAAGTACTGAATATACATACATAATACATAATGTGAAAAACTGCACAGCAGTAACAAAATAACACTGCATGACAAAAAGAGAAGCAATTCACAACCTTGTAGCTCTGACTCTTTCTTCACAACAGTCTTTGCTACCTGTTGTACTTACAAAAGCAGGTCCACTACCAGCCACTGCCCCAACTGCATTAATAAGAGATTCTGGAATCATTTCGCTAATTCCTCCTACAGATAAAATATTCCCAATCATACTTAAATCTTCAGAAGTGATGTTGCTTCCACCCGAATATACTGAAATCAAGAACAAAATGGCAATGCTATCTCAGTGTGAGAGATGTGGAATAATAGCAATAAACGAGTGAAGGTTGCAAATTTGTAGATTCACCGATTTTGATCACACTATTGAGAGTTCATTCATGGTTCTCACCTGAGACACCGGCACCTACCATCATGGGAGTATTTGGCATCACTCGTATTACTCTGGCCCCGATGACAACCTCACAGAGTTTCTGGAACAATATTTGAACATGAAAGTTAAAACAGTGCCTGTACTCTCAAATCATATCTTGCAGAAATATTGTTTTTACAATATGAAGTGCATATATTTTCTTATATTGTATAACTATTACCTAAACCTTTTTTTTTTAATTTGTAATACTTAACACTGTCAATTGTAGTAATGAAACATAAACAAGTCAGTCATGTGCTGACCAATGCACACTCAACTGTCATTGCACATCAGTGATACTAGCTGAAGTACCCATTCATTGCCCTGGGTTTTGTAAAAGTGTACTGTCCAAACTAATGAAATTGGGTACATGTTGTACCACACATACATAATGCATACAATAAATTACAATAATTATTCTTACTTTCATTCTCTTCGTGTTCTAAAATTAAAAGGATGTGTCATCACACACCTTTTCTGTTATTTACCACTGTGGGATTCCTCACACAGTTTTTAATATAGCAATGAAACAGCAGTAGACACAGCTTTCAGCATTGTCTTTTGTGCTCTCCTAGCAACCATGAGGCAGGCAAGATAGAAGGAAAGTAGAAGCAAGGATGTTATACTACAGATTACATTTTAACTATTAAACTTAATTTATATATATCACACTTCTTAAAGTGTTTTTCTTTTGCATGGGATTTATCAATGCAAAAATCAATATATATTTTGTGGGATTCTTCTATCCATGACATTGAAAACAACTCAGATTACGTTTCAATTTGTGTACTTCCTACCTTGCATAATTATAATTGGTAAGGATGCAGAATGCAGTTTGGTTTCCTTTAAAATAACCTAACCTAATCTATCAAATCCAAGCCAAGCCTGATCTTACCAGCTGGCAATGCAGCAGAATAAAAAATCAGCATTAAATGTGAGAAGGTAGGTTGTCCAAACTGTATTTTGCACTTCATTTTCTTTATGAGCAAACAGCCCACCTTTTCTAACACCTCCAAAGTTGTACCGGCAAGTACAGATACAAACAATTTAGTGTGGACTGGCTGGGACAGAGTTGCCTTCATGTTTTCTATTGCTGAGTCCAGTATTTGTGGTTTTACTGCTATGAAAACTATATCTGACTGTTCCACAACAAAACCTGTCCACAGGAAGAAATATGTTAACAAGACCTGTAAGGGTATTCTACACAATACACCTCCAGTATAAACCATGAAGCCCTGGCCCAAACTTGACCTCCCTTAATGAATTAAAACAAAAAAAAAAAACTGGAATTGAAATAATAAATCACCAAATTCATTAACCATTATTTCCAGCACTGCTATATGTGTTTTGTTATCAAAATCTTTTATTTTATACATTCTCCTGGGTTCATATTTTTTAAACTTCTTGAGAAGTGGGGCTGGGGAGAAGACAATCCTGCAAGAACCCCTACTCATATCACAATTTTTCTAGTATCTTCAGTAGAGACATACATTATAGATTATGGTTAAATCTGTAACTGTTATGATTCTTTCAGTTCCTTTACAGTAGAAAACACTATAAAACTACTGTCTCTCATGAAAACAGTAAAACCTGCTGTGCATCTCATGAAATATATTTCTGATGATATTACATTCATTGTCAGTCTTTACAGTCCATTTCTTGCTGTCATATTAGTCATAACATGTGCATTATAACTAGAATTCTTGTGTCTTCAAACTGATTAACTGAGAAGTTAGTTAATGATACTAGCTAAGTATATAATTGTTCTTATATTTATATCTTTAGTCTTCTTCATAAGACAGAACTTGTTGCATTTTTTAAACAAAAGTGACTTTCAATTTGTTATTCCCTCTATATGCAACAAAATTTTGTGTCTTCTTATATGTAGTAGTTTGTTGAGGCACAATGATAGAATCCAGAAGGTCATGGGTTTGATTCCTGATGTCACTGGATTTTTCAATTGACATAATCCTTCCAGTTGCACTATGGCTCTGGGGTTGACTCAGCCTCTAACAAAAATAAGTACAAGGAACCTTCCTGGTGGTAAAGGGTGGCCGGTTTGTAAGGCTGACAACCTTACTGCCATTTGTGAGCCGACTGTCTAGAAAATGTGGAAGCTTTAAAATGTCTCAATGCTACAAGTCTCCATGGCATTTTACAGGGATAGCCGTACCTTTATATAGGTATCTTTAATGACTGATCTAAAGTAATATTATTTAAATTGTTAATTGGGTACTGCAGTAGTCTTGATAGCTATAAAAATCTGGTGATCAGAAAAAGGCTTCAGTAGCAGTTACAGTGAAGTTATTTTCTGCTTTTGGATTCCCTGATTAAAAGAGATACTGAAGAAGTTAAAGAAAATAATGCATAAATGACAGGAAATAGAAATTTTTCTGAGTGGTATGGATGCATATAGAGAATATGAAAATTCACAACCAAAACAAATATACCCTGGAGACCAACCAGAAGACATGAAGAATACTGTGCCCCCCCCCCCCACCTTCCCACCAGAATGGACATGCACAAAATCAGTCACCGGTCAGACAATAAATACTATAATACTGCACTACTGCCACAGGCCTCCAAGCAGTTAACGGTTCCATACGTGTACAAGGCAAGAATAATACCGCTGGAATTATAACAATACAATTGCAATAACAGACTTCATAATATGAAATTTTACATGCATATAATATGAAATATTATGAGGGTAAGTCAATAAGTAAGTTAGAAATGGATATAGAACTTAAACAAATAAGAGTACTGATTTGAAAAATGCTTTTATTTCTCAACACAATCTCCCTGTACATTGAGGCATCNATACTATAATACTGCACTACTGCCACAGGCCTCCAAGCAGTTAACGGTTCCATACGTGTACAAGGCAAGAATAATACCGCTGGAATTATAACAATACAATTGCAATAACAGACTTCATAATATGAAATTTTACATGCATATAATATGAAATATTATGAGGGTAAGTCAATAAGTAAGTTAGAAATTGATATAGAACTTAAACAAATAAGAGTACTGTTTTGAAAAATGCTTTTATTTCTCAACACAATCTCCCTGTACATTGAGGCATCTGTCCCATCGTTTCACAAGACCCTGAAAACCAGCAGCATAAAATTGTTTGGGATGCTGTCGGAACCAGGCGGTGACTTCCCTTTCTACAGCTATATCGTCGAGAAAATGTTCAGCCGAAAGATGATGTTTGAGAGGGCCGAACAAATGGAAGTCGCTTGGAGCAAGGTTGGTGCTATACGGAGGATGCTCGAGGACTTCCCATTTGAAATTTCGCAGCGTTTCATTTGTCCTGTTGGCAGTATGGGGACGCACATTGTCATGCAAGAGCAACATGCCTTTGGTGAGGAGTCCTGGCCGCTTCCGTTGAATGGCCTTACGAAGTTTCCTGAGGATGTTACATTAGAAGTCAGCATTTAAGGTTGGTCCTTGAGGCTTGAATGCGGTGAGCAGTGTGCCTTCGTGATCTCAGTCACCGCCTGGTTCCGACAGCAGCCCAAAGAATTTTATGCTGCTGGATTTCAGGGGCTTGTGAAACAATGGGACAAGTGCCTCAATGTACAGGGAGATTGTGTTGAGAAATGAAAGCATTTTTCAAATCAGTGTGTTTAAGTTCTATATCCATTTGTAACTTACTTATTGACTTACCTATGTACATAAATATTTTTTAATTGTATAACTTGAGTTTTTATAATAATTTTATAATTTTACTGTATTTTTGTACTTTGTATTATTATAGTGTGACATATTTGTCAACTATCCAGCACTACTGTACCATCATAATGAAATGCAGTTCAATAGTATGTGAGTGGAATAACTATGTATGTGTATTTGCTTTAAAAGCCGAAACATGTAGCGAAGATTATATTGACCTTGACTGTCTCGTGTTGCAACAGATTCTAATAAAGATTTTGAAGACTACTGTTACCTGGGGTGTGACACCATGTAGTCTGGTAGATGGAGACAGCACAACTCCAAAATACGAGCAAACTTCTATCAGACTATACGGTGTCCTATCCCAGAAGACAGACATCCTTACAGTCACTGCTGTGATACTACATGCTCATTCCTTCTACTCTTTAGATGAATACTTCAATGTAAATAGAGAATGCTGTAAAATTAAGTTATGTTAATTTTTAAGCTAAAATTGCCTGTACTTATGTATGTAACCTTTTGACTTGTTCTGTATCCAAAGGTACTAACCTGCTTAGGATTTATAGAATGTAAATAAATTCAATTCAATAACCTGAAATCTCTCAAAACATGATAGTTACAAGGAATTTGATAGAAGGGGCTGCAATGATAACAGATATGAAGCATGAGATTATGGAACCTATGAGAATGGAAAAACACTAAGGAGATCTTTAACAAATTTAATTTTCACAATAAGGCAATTCACTGAGAAACACAGAAAGTTTAGAAAGGAAATGTTAATAATTTTCAAAGAACTTTAAAAGTGACTGGTATGAGATGCAATTTGAAAGGCCTCAAGAAAGAAATTTGACAGATTCAACATACCTTATACACAGAATACGAAACCATACAAGTGTGCATGAACGTGTGCGAACAACTGCAGAAATGTACTTTGTAACAACTTTGAAATTAATAGGTATTAATGCGATATAATGTGAGTAGGACTTAAAGAGTATTATTAAATTGACAAGCTCATCCAGAAGAATGAAATTATAAAATTAGCTTCATGGTGCAGTGTCTTCCTTGAATGCTGATAAACTCTGTCAGTTTAAAGATCCTACCCTGTTTTATCAAATCCAGTTTCATTCACTGACTCACTCAGTGAGCAGAGACCTTCTTGGGAAGCTGCCAATTGTGCACCTACTCCAGAATTTTCCACCATTTTATGGACCCCAAAGGTTCACTACCATGTTCACAGGAGCCCCCCACTGGTTTTCATCCTGAGCCAGATCGATCCAATCCTTACCATCCCATCATATATCTCTAAAATCCATTTTAATATTGTACACCCACCTACGTCTTGGTAATCCCAGTAGTCTCTTTCCTTCTGGCTTTCCCACCAATATCCCATATGCAATCCTCTTCTCCCACATTTGTGCTACATGAACTGCACATCTCATCCTCCTCCACTTGATCACTCTAATTATACTTGGTGAAGAGTACAAGTTATGAAGCTCCTCATTATGCAGTTTTCTCAAACCTCCAATCACTTCATCTGTCTTCAGTCCAAACACTCTCCTCAACACCCTGTTCTCAAACAACCTCAGTCTATCTTCCTCCCTTAAAGTCGGAGACCAAGCTTCACACACATACAGAATCACAGGCAAAATTATAGTTTTGTATATTCTATGTTTTTGGGCAGACAAAAGGTTCTTGACTGAATGTTATCAAGCATTATCTGAGTTCAATTTCCTCTTAATTTCCATCTGAGTCAGGTTTTGATTTGTTATCATCGTTCCAAGATATCTGAACTGCGCCACATCAAAACATATGTTACAAAACTTCATGTCCTGATTTTGCCCTCAATTTTGGTGACGAAACAGCAACATATACTTAGTTTTCTCCGTGTTTACTTCTAGACAAACCTCCTTACTAGCGTCAATTAAAGTTTGTGTGTTTTTCTTTATGGTATCTATATTATCACCCAGTAGATTCACATCATCTCTATAGGCCAACAGCTGATGTGCCCCATTTAATTTCAGTCCCACCTGCTTTTCTTGAACCTTCCCAATGGCATATTCTAACGCAAAGTTAAAGCAGTGGTGATAAAGCATCTCCTTGTCATAGACTATTCTGGATAGGAAATTTATCGGACAAATGTTTGCCTATACGGACTGTACTATATGTTTCATTTAACCACATTTTAATCAGCCTGATTATTTTCATGGGTATCCCAAACTTGTAACAGAATATTGTACAATACTTTCCTCCTAACTGAATCATAGGCTTTCTTGAAGTCTATGAATAGCTGATGTACTGTCTCATTGTACTCCCACTTTCTTCTCCAGTATCTGACGAATGCAAAAGACCTTATCAGTACTTTATCTCTTACACTGAAACCCAGACTGATGATCCCAAATAATTTCATCTATGTAGGACTTACTCTTGAGAGAAGAATATTGGATAAATTTTTGTATGAAGTTGATAGCATGATAATTACTATAGTTAGTTTTATCACTCTTCTTGTGAACTGGTACAATAATAGACCCCTTCAACTGATCAGGCAATTTTTCCTTATTCCAAATAGGATTAGCTTATGGATCTTAGAACGTAACAGTTCACCTCCTGCTTGAATAAGTTCTGTCAGAATTTGATCACTACCTGGCGATTTATACCTTTTCAATTTTGCAATAACAATTTCAACCTCAAAAGGGCTAGGATCAGGTACTAACGGCTCAGTTGTATGTATTTCTATCTACATAACATCACTGGCCCTGTGTACATTCAATAACTGAGAGAAGTAGTTCTTCCACCTATTCAAAATGTTGTGGGAATCTGCAAGCAGATCACCATTCTCATCTTTCACTAAGTTACTTATAGGTTGGTAACCCCTCAGAAGTTCATTTATTCCTCTATACAGGTCTCTAATGTTGTTTTTACTGTTCATTGCAAGCTATCAATTTTGTCTTTCAGATATTCCCTCTTTTTATTCCTGAAATGCCTGCTGAATCCAGTTTCATTTTCATATTGAAAACAATCTGTCATGTACCATTTTCCTTTGATCAATTTTTTTATTATCCTCCCACCTCAGACTATGACTCCTCTGAGGTTTCCTGACCAATATTTTACGTGTTTTTTAGTTTCTCATTCATGCTACATGCCTAGGTTATCTTACATGATTTCATCACCATGATAAAATTATGTGAAATGTACAAATCATAAAACCCTTCTCTCTGTACTCCTTTCCGTTCCTCCATTACTTCCTTTCTGTAAAAAGGTAAAGTTGTCCCTGTGCATGATTAATTAAGCACTATGCCACGAAGACATATGGGGGAGTGGCGGTATAGATTCACCATTCCTGACCTCAGCATTAAACAGGGGTGAGTGGTCAGTTTCATGCACCAGCCATTTACCCCCGGGGAAACAGCCTGCAGTACCCACTGGATAGAAAGGTGAGTGGGCCCTAGAGCTGGTTTGGACAGTATGGAGTGGAGAAAAATCTGTTACCCCTGCTGGAAGTTGAACCCCAGCCATTCAGCCTGTAGCCTCTTGCTATACCAACTGAGCTGTTAGGTCCAGATACTTCCTCCAAAATACTGTTCTCACTCTAAACAATGACAGTATTTAAGAAATGATATTATTTGAAGTGTTTTCCACCTGCAAATAATTTGCCCACAAAATTATTCTTACCAACCATTTTTGTTTGATGTATGGGCTCCTAGGGCTTTCCATGAGCCTAGGTTCTTGTCTGAAGGAGCAGATATGTACAGCTGTGATGGCTTTATCATTCCTGAAATGATGTAAAGAATAGTACAATGACTATCACATGCAGCACATTCAATATACTGACACCGCTGATACACTAGTTAGTACTTGTCACACTCTTCAACCTAATACAAAGAACTGATTTACTCAGAAGTTTATGACAGAGGAAAACTGATAAAGAAAACCTGGACACTTCCACCATCACAAACTGACTGGTAGATATGGTAAACCTCCAAAGGGTGATGGACCATTAACTGCGCAAACAATTATTATTATTATATTATTACTCATGGAGCTGAGCCCTTCTTGAGGAGCCGCCAATCTGCGCAGCTACTCAAGAATTTCCCAGAATTTTATGGAACCTAAAGGTTCATTACCATATTCACAAGAGAACTCAACTGGTCCCTATCATGAGCCAGACCTATCCCATCCATACCATCCTATCCTATATCCCTAAGATCCATTTTAATATTGTCCACCCACCTATGCCTTGGTCTTCCCAGTGGTCTCTTTCCTTCTGGCTTTTCCACCAAATCCTATATGCATTCTTCTACCCCATTCATGCTACATGCCCTGCCCACCTCATCCTCCTTGACTTGATCAATTACAATTACAAATTGAAATTATAATAATTAAATGTGGCCATATTTGGTGAATGAAAATAGTAGACATCACTAAGAAATTCCGTATGTGTCATGTGTAACATGCATATTCCACCTAATGTATTCTAGACTCCAAAATTAGTTCCATATAGCAGAGTACTTCTTAGGAACTGATAACTGTTTAGCTGGTCAAGATATTGCCTGCCTTTTATGGTATCTGAATGTTTATTATCATGTTTAAAACAGCTCATGCCTGTAACCTATTCTGAGATAAACAAATCCAGTCCTCATCCTCAAATCCTATTTTTTTTTTTTTAAGATCCATCTAATAAGTACCTACTTCAAAATAGGATTTTCCTCTCAACATTTTGATCTCAAATATTATACAAACTTCCAATCTCCTTCATCTAAGTTTGAGGGTCTACATAACACTTTGAAACATACTAGCTCTTCAGGGTGACAGATTGTTAGGCACCTTGTCTCTTGTCCTTATCTGCATCTGTATAAGAAATATAATCCCTGGTACCTTCCATATCTGGGCACACCATGTCTTTTATCTGTAACCTGAGACACACTACAACTTAGATTCACAAAAAGTAATATGCAGTTTGCCAGGACTGACTGGGTGGGTGCTCCCAAGTGTCCGATGAACAGCAGCAGCATTGCTACAAGGATACACCCTTAAAACAGCAACCTTTTTAACAGATTATGAGAAAACATTATAAAATCTCAGTAAGGTCAGTCCCAGCCAAATAATCACAGTTAATGTACTGCACCATTAAACGGATGGTATGCAGGGAAAGAAACGTAATCTACTTAAAAGCTAGAAATTCTAAGGTTTTGTGTGCCTTCATTTGAAAGGAAAGCTAACGGTTAGAAAACGCTGGGGACACGGTGCGCGAGCATTATGAAACCTCTGAACAAATTTCATCAAATGATGCTAATAGTTATAATATTTCTAACTTTAATGTTCGATTTCGTTATGAAGCTACTTTGTTGTACCTGAATTCGCCAGTCCTTCACCAATTGCTTTAGCCATATTTCCCGCTCCTATAAATCCGATTTTGACGGAGAGCTTTACGTCACATTCCCCTGCCATCTCAGAAATAAATAATACTACCTATCGCTACCTATCTACCTAACGTTATTACTATATCGTAAAAAATAAACCACAGCCTAACACATGTCACAAAAAAAACCGCTTGAATTCTGAAATTTGAGAACAGTTGCGTTCACAACCTTCACAACAGCTTTTTAGTCCGACCAAAGACCATTATTTCATACAGCAGCAGATATTGGTGGCTTAACGTCAATTAAGTGACATCTATATCTCGCTTTGTTTCTCAATACTGATTGACGGCCTCTTTCGCTCATTTGGATTAAAATCTCACGGGCACTAAATCAGCAAACATTCGCAAGAAAATCTGTGGTCACTCACAACCGCTCACAGAACGATTAGAAAGGCATAAGCACAAAAATGCCTACAAAAAAAGAAATTAAATCTTGGGCGCTGTAGAACACTGAACGGACCTCATGCAGCCTGCATTGAAACTTTAAATAGAGGAAGCACAGTTGCAAATATACAAATGAAACGGGTAAACTAAAGACTAAATTCCGTGGCTTGAGCCCGCAAGTGAACTATACGGACCGAGCGACCGCCGCTTGTCGGCGAAGTTACTGCCAACTTTAGTGAAAGAGGATGTCGCGTGGTCAGCCCCACCGAATCCCCACTGCCGTTAATTTCGGTTTTCTAGACTGGAGCCGCTGTTTCCTTCAAATAGCTCCCCAGTTATCCTCACGAGGCTGAGTGAACCCCGTTCCAGACCCACTACTTCTCAGAAAATCTGGTAGCGCCGGGAATCGAACCCGGGACCTGTGGATCTTTATCCAGGAACTCTGACCACTAGACCACAGAGGCGGCCCATACATAACGGGTAACTAATGGTAAACAACACAACAGTTTTTTTTTTCATGGGAACGAGAAGGCAGATTCGTGGGAAGTAATTGCTCTTGGGGAGGTTAGAATTTTACCTCAGAGAACTTCGAAGTTGGAACTGGAAGGCTTTTAATTTGAGATCGTGTTTTTTTGTAATTATGTGTCTTTAAATTACAAAATCCGAAGCTCCGTGACAATGATTTTATTTCCAATGTTATGGAGTGTTTATGACGAGAAAATCCAACGCTCATGGACGGCCGATAGTTTACTAGCATTTTCAATCATAACGTACCCGTTTTCAAGTATGGCACAGAAGGCCTCGCAACAATTCTTGTAAGCCATTCGAAATTAAAAGACACATACAATTTTATGTAAAATTGTGGTATTGATCAAATAGCATTTTTCATCGAGCATCAGTAATTCTAAGGTAGGCGAGTAATGAAATTTAAAACTGTTGAAAACTACTGTCTCGGAAAGAAATTTGATGTAGGACTGTAGCAACAGAAAAAAAAATACTCCTAACAGTGCACCTTCGATAGCCAATTGATTAATGTAGTGTTTATAGAAAGATGGGATGTGACACAGATTAGTCCATTTGAAGTTTATCGGCGTTTCAGAGGAGAGTACTGCCTCTATTTTCAGAGTAGAATTACAAGCCAAACAAAGTAATCAGCAAAGTGTAAGCATATCCATGAAGATGGAGGCAGTACGCTTCTCCGAATTATCTTTGAACTTCTACGGGACAACACGGCGTCACAACTCAGATGGTAGTTCTCTTCGTACTCACCGCCACTCACCGCTATGAGACTCCCAAATCCTACTGGTACCTGTAGTGTCTGTAGTTTTGTCGGTAGATGGAGTTTAGGGACCCAGTGGATGGGTGCTGAATGTATACCCCATCGTGATCGGACGTTATGACGTCAGTTTCGTGCATAGAGTAGTGTTCGTGTTTAAACCTGGGTTGGGTGTATGGTGATACTGATGTTGACCGTTTCTGAAAAGTTTTTAATTGTTGCGTTAGTGAAGTGAGTGGAGTTAATTATAATGTGTAGTGTTATATATTCGTGAGACGTCATGTTTCGTTGTATTCCAATTTTTAAAGGTTGTAATCGTCAGGTTGAATATGTTGACAAGCGTCACTGTTCACTACCGACTGTACCCGAAGACATCTTGAGATATTCGCGAAGTTTGGAAGAGCTTTTACTGGATGCTAATCATATTCGAGACCTTCCGAAGGTAGTGTTGATTTTACATTTGCTATGTAGTGGCAACGCCCTCTAATTATAAAGAACTGCAGACGTAATTTACAACTTGTGTAACTTCCTGTAGAAGTTATGTATCTTCATCAAGTCTGTTGAAAATAGGTTTATCATTAAATGTCAGCCGTAAAATAAAGCAGCATGGTAGCTATGTCATTGTGTGTTTTAAACCAGTCTTCCTATCTTTCAGAACTTCTTCCGTTTACATCGTTTAAGGAGACTGGGATTAAGTGATAATGAAATTCATCGTTTACCACCTGACATCCAGAATTTTGAAAATTTGGTGGAATTGGATGTGTCAAGAAATGGTAAGTGAAAGTGGAATTATGCAGTTTACATGTAAACTCCAGTATGTCTAATTATATATGATTTATAGAGATTTTTTTAGTTATTCTGTATGGACATTGAAAATTGTAATAAGAGTGGAAGGAGATCAACACAGTTCTTCAGTTCTGATCATAACATTCTTCGTTTTAAGTAATACTAGTCACCGTCTTTGTGGAGTTCCTCTGGCTAAACATAAAATACTGTGGAACCCAAGGCAGAACTAAAAACTACAGATCTAAAGAGGGTATAGTCTTCTGTACTGTACACAAAAGAGACTGACACACATAATAACCATTCTCTGCAGATTGATTTGCATTTATGAGGTAAACATTCCTTTGTTTCCAACTGCAAATCCACCGAAAAATGAGAGTTGTACTAAGAGTAAGTGCAACGTCTAGTTGTTTTTGTGGTGGTATGTTACGAAAAGCCAGTCTAATACAGGCATGTTTTCCCAAGTGGAAGGACTGTGTGCTTGGACATGTAAAATCAACAGAAAAATGTTACACAACTGAACCAGTGGAGAAGCTGAAGTAATACAGTTCTTAGACTGATATTCTGTTTTGCTTGTAACGACACCGAAAGGAAACATTGTTTTCATCACAATGCAGATGTCTGGAAATCAGGATCATTTACAGACTGGGTTATGTAAATGTATACTTTTTTCAAGATCTCGCTCTGTTTGAACAAAATGGAAGTTTTTGCAAAGAATACGGTTTCAAGGATCATTGGTGGTAGACTAGGTAAAAAAGAAGATGAAGTTGTCCCTATGCTTAACTAATTAAGCACTATGCCATTAAGTTGTATGGGGGAGTGGATGTATAGATTCACATTTTCTTGACCTTGGCACTAGCTGGAGGTGAGTGGTCAGCTTCACGCCCCTGCCGCTTTACACCTAGTGAAAAAGCCCTGGTACACACTGGATAGTCAGCTGGGTGGGCCCCAGAGTTGGTCTGGACCTGGAGAAGAGAAAATTCTTGACCATACGAGGGCTCAAACTCTGACCCCTTGGTCGTCTAGCCCGTAGCTGTTCACTATAGCGACTAGGCTATCCAGGCTCCCTCAGTGGTCTGTATTAATAGCATCGTAGTCTTTTAAACTGCCAGCCATAGCGAATTTAGAGCTGAGATGCAGACATGTGACCAACTGACCAGCCACATGTGGATCCCACTGCAAAGGATGCGGAAGGAAAGTACCACACCTATGATAAGAACTGGATTTTGTGTCATTTTTTTCTGTGGGTTACTTAACGATTTTTTTTCAGTATCAACACTATGCACCATTGGATGGTATGATTATAGATGAACGATTAGTTAGAAAGGTCTTGGAAGGAAGCAGTCAGGCCTCATTGAGGGACTATCCTGGCATTTGCTTGGAGGGACTGAGGGGATCCACAAAGAACCCAGTCGAAAATGCTGGTGTCCAGGCCGGGATATGAACTGAGTATCTCCTGCATAGATGTCTGGAGGGTTACCTGTAGACTTTCCTGTTTGTAGTATTTGTATATCTGATCACATGGCATCTGATTTTACACTGGTTTCTTGCTTGGTTTGTTCTTTGACCCTGAAGATGGAGGTGACATTCCTCTGAAATGTCAGTTGACTTTCAACGTAACTAACTACACAGTGCTGTGCCCAGAAGATAAACCTCTTCATTTATGGAAGCCTCCTAACAGCACCTCTGGACTTCCCTCAAGGGTTTCTGGAACACATTTTTGAAATCATTGCTCTCAAAAAATCAGACTTGATGCAACCTCACAAAATGAAATCAACACAAGGACAATTTTTGCCATTTGTACCCTAGCCATTAGCTAAACTGAGAAATGATGTAATGTTATTAGTAAAATTCCTTCTCACTCCCAGGAAGTAGCTTGAAAAGTCTGCAGATAATATCACTTGAATGAAGTTTTCTTGTTGTGAAATATCAAGGTGCAATGGAAGAACGTAAATCAAGGTGGAGAGTGTTAAACCCAGCTATGAAAAGCTGTTCATTTAGCAGTTATGGTGTTTTGATTGAGTAGCTTTAATTGAGAGCCAGGCTCTACATGAGCAACCTTTGCTGCCATCATAAGAAGTACACAGTTCATTTTTGAGAATCACTGCACACATGTTTTTTGACTGGTGAGCTGTGGACATTCTCTATGTTTGTGCCCCACCATGGTGTGATGTACTGAAAAATGTGTGTTTTATGTAGATACATACATTTTTGGCAGAATAAGGCACCAGCACAGACAGACAAGGGAATTTAATGTGGGCTGTGTAGACTGTTTTCAATGAACAAATAATCAATAGAAGTCTAAAGATTTCTTGGATCTCATTGTATAATTTTTGTTTCTGGAACAGCTTGAAATAGAAAGTTGACAGTATAGTCTTAAGTACTCTTCAGGACAAGATTCAGGCTGTATTCTAGAAACCATGGAATGTGTCACAGAATTTATGCCTGCGTGAAGTGTACTTGGGTGTTAGATTCAACTTTCAGCACACATTGTGTAAAACTAGGTAAATACAGTGTCTTTACTGAACAAATTTTCGAGCATGGATGTATTCTCTAATCCATTGTTTCCCAAATGGTGTTTGTGAAACCTGGGAATCCCACAAAGTGAAAACAAGGCCCCCCCCCCCCAATTCCATTATAGTATAAATAACTGGTAATTTAAATATCATGGCATGAAGCCTAAGAGCCAGAAAGGTGGAGTCAGAGCAGCACCATGGAAGGATCCATTGCTAGGCAATGGCTAGGTATACATGCCACTGTAGTCACTGTTGGAGACTGCTATCAAGCGACGAGTATGTGAATACACAGCAGACAGGGAAGACTTGGAATGTACTATAGCTATTTATAATATACCAGAAGATTGAAAAGTTGCGCACGTCAAACTAAAAGTTGTTATAAATTGTATTGCAGTTAATATAATTATATCTCCTACCACTAGATGGTACTGTAGGAGTACTAAAAACGAGCAGAAATGCCATCTGTCGTGTATCAGTCATACGATGTCTGCAGTATAGTTTGTTTATTGCTTGACAGACATGTTGTTTTCCCAAGAATGAGTGGAACATTATTTTGATCAGGTTTTCTTCACTGACAAAGCGTGGTTTCACCTTAGTGGCTACGTGAACAGTCAAAACAATAGGATTTGGTCATCTGAAAATCCACATGTGTTACATGAAAAGCCCTTGCACTGTCAGAAAATTGGAGTGTGGTCTGCTGTATCACGTCAAATAGTTGGCCCAGTTTTCTTTGAAACAACAGTGAACAGTCCAGTGTACCAAGACATCATTACACAGTTTACTGCACTTCTTGAAGTTGATGAACGTGAAGGTAGGTTGCAGTAAGTTAGTGCCACATGTCACACATCTAATGAAACCATGCAGTTCTTGTGTGAGTTTTTCGGTGACTGTCTCATTTCAAAAGGATTGTGGACCCCGTGTTCACCTGATTTGTCACCCACAGATATTTTCCTTTCGGGGTACCTCAAAGGAATTGTCTGTAAAAACAACCCGCATACACTGGCTGACCGCAAGAGGAACATTACGATGACGATTAACAGTATTAGTTTACAGGTGCCCCACAAAGCGGCCTCAAACATGGTAAAAGGAGCTCGCGCATGCATNGGATGTAAAGAGCTCTCTGGAGTATGGCAGACATATAAGCAATGCCTACAATTTAATATCGTGATAATATTTGTACAAGTCTTATCTATTTTGTTTTATTGCTGGTGGGGTGGGACTAAGTCTCTTGTACTGCGGCCACTTCTGGCCTATTGTACCAGCCCCAGATGATAGGTGAAGGTGATTGTGGAGCAGTTGGAGGAATGAAGATTGGCAGAGGAAACCGAAGTACTCGGAGAAAACCTGCCCCAGCGCCACTTTGTCCACCACAAATCCCACTTGACCAGACCCGGGATCAAACCTGGGCCACCGCGGTGGGAAGCTGGCGACTAACCACTTGAGCTATGGTGAGGCGTAACATTAATGTTAAGTGCTGTATGTCTTGTCGTTTGTGCATTAAACCAGCAAAATATAATTGCTTAGTGTGATGTGCGCGACTTCTTGAGCTCCCTGTAGGTGTACATCGGAAGAAATTTAGAAAATGGATGCTGTTATTTGTATCTTATTTAATAGGGAGATTCTATTCTGCCCTTAGAGAACTCTTGTAACATATATATATATACATATATATATATATATACACGCAGAGACACACGCACACGCACACCAGTATGAAGGTGAACATAAAAATAATTTTAGAAGAAGAAAAGAAGCATTATTTGCATTGAAAGTTGCAAATATTTGACATATTAGTTTCTTGAGCTTCAATTTCCCTATACAGGATATGCGATTTTTGTTTCCTATATATGTGCAATTAAATGATATATTGTTCTCATGTATTTTATTAGCATCCTTATTTATTTGTGATCTGATTATTAGCTTTGTATATAATAATTTTATTGGGGGTTCCATAACAGATTTTTCAGTGCGTAGATCTTCTGTGACCAAATTAAATTGAGAAGCAGTGTTCTAAGCAGATTATGTGATAGCGTGTAATTTTCTTCTGCAACATATCCCACACATTTTCTGGTACCTTGCTGTACAGATAGAAGGTAGTAAGGCTAGAATCATGAAAAGAACTGCTGTGTACTGTGTACAGTACACAGCAGTGTTGTCCTTCTCCATTTGGTTTATGTAATAGCTCACCTATGGTGTTTGAAACGTTGATTGATTCATGGACATTAAAGTCTGCTGAATTACAGGACTCTTGGCAATAAAAAATAAAAACAAACACAGTTTGCTTACAGAGCCTAAATTAGACTAACCTACTTCTTGATAGTGGTCTTCTTGGATGTAATGATTTTATTGCTGTGACTTGCTCACCAGAAGTCATTTGTGAAACTGAGTTACCATTGTGGTATGAGAGGCTTATGTTTCTCATCCATTAATAGCACCCCTTACAATTTTGGATGCATTGTACAAGTCCTTATATC